GTGATGACTAGCTGCCTTCCCTCTAGTCTTACACTGTTAAATTAGGGACGGCTAGCGCAGATAGCCCTCATGTAGCTTTGCGCGAAATTCAAAAACAAACATGATTTGAGCTGATTTTCTATTTGCTACACTAAAGAATGGCGTCTTTAGATGTATCTTCTAAATGTTAGTACCAACAAGAATATAGTCATCAGGTGTTTTCTAGGTGTTAGGACCAGCAAAAATGTAGTCATCAGGTGTTTTCTAGGTGTTAGAACCAGCAAGAATGGGGTCATCAAGTGTCTTCTAGGTATTCGAACCAATAACATGGAGTCATCAGGTGTTTTTAGGTGTTAGAATCAGAAGAATGGAGTCATCGGGTATCTTCTATGTATTAGAACCTGAAATAATTGGGTCATCAAGAATCTTCTAGGTATTAGAACCAATAATATAGAGTCATCAGGTGTTTTTAGGTGTTAGAACAGCAAGAATGGAGTCATCGGGTGTCTTCTATGTATTAGAACCTGAAATAATAGGGTCTTCAGGTATCTTCTATGGATTAAAACCTGAAATAATAGGGTCTTCAGGTATCTTCTAGTTGTTAGAACCAGCAAGAATGGAGTCATCGGGTATCTTCTAGGCATTAGAAGTAGTAAGAACAAAATCGTTAGGTGTTTTTAGGTGTTAATACCTGCAAGAATGCAATCATTAAGTATCTTTTGATTGTTAGAGTCTGTTGAAATGAATGAAAGGTGATTCAAAAACATTTAATTTTGAACAAATGGTTTTAGAACTTTCCAACTTCGAAGTAAAGACTACACACTGTTAGTGAAAATGAACAAATTTATATATAGAAGACATATACAGGGTTATAAATATTACATTAGACGTTTGAATGTGATATTAAAACTACCGACTTGTTCCTACATAAACGTTTGCATGAATATTGCAAACGTGTGATTGATAGTCATTTTCTTTGTCATCTTTCATCCCTGAAGTCCTGTAAGAGGTCTTTGATAATTCAAAGAAAGAATAAAATCAGTCATTATCAGAAGAGTAACGAAAATTTTGATCGACAGGAACATGTTTCGATAATCCACATCACACTTGTAAAATAAATAACACAAAAAAGTTTTATCATTTCCAAAAAAAAAAAAAAAAAAACGATCAGCTGGTAATTTATCTGACGTTTTTTTTCTATTGTATATTTTCTTTATCATAACTTTCTTATAATATCAATTTCTCTTATACTTAAATAAATGTATAACAGCTATTTACAGAATTCTACATTCACAACAAACTGTTACCCAAATTAACCTTTCTTCTTAAATATAACGTGTTTGTTTTAGGGCAAAGCCGCACAATAGACTGTGCACTATGACCACCACGGGTAATCGAACCTCAGATTTTAGCGTTCTAAATCTGTAAACTTACTGCTGACCCACTACAGGACTAAACACTGTGATTTGTCAATAAATATTAATTAGTACAACAATAATTTAAGTCACAATGACATACTTTTGAATATAGTAAAATGATAGAACTTCTGAAATATTTATTTTTAAGTACCAAATAAGTGAGGTATTTGGGTACGTAGAAAATCATAACTATTTATTTAGTAACTTAAATAAGAACGAGTTTCCAACTCTCGATTAATCTACTGTAAAATAACAATTAAACCGTTCATTAAAGTACTAACTGAGATAAATAGTTACTAAAGAACGTGGCCTCATAATTACTGTATCAGTTTCAAAATTCAAGTTCTAACGTTTTTTTGTAAAATAATCTTACTGTTTAATAATTGAATAGAATGACGAATATTTTACAGGAACTTTGCTACCATACGAAAGGCAGGAAATGGGTTATCTGTGCTGTGCCCACAGCAGGTATGCAAACCCAGTTTTTAGCGTTATTAGCCTTCAGACTTACCGCGAAGCCATTGAGGGTTCAACAATTTTGTGAGCATAATGAAGTTAGACACTCGTATTGTACAAAGGTAATTACGAATAAAATACAAGTTTTTAAAATAACAAAACTCGAAAGAATTGAAATGTTTAACAATGTATTGAAAATGAAAACTGTACTGGACAATATAAAGAATACTGTTACGTCTCCGTTCGTTAGTTAATTTTCCGTAAATTCTTTCCGAATACAACTTTACGATACACTTAATTTCAACAGTCGCTCTATAACAACGCTATAACTTACGTCTCACGTGACCAACTATACTCTGTCCGCATACATTCAATTACTCATTACCTTGTTCCGTCACGTTGTGAGCGTCAATCCTTTTTTTTCTGAAACATTAAATACTACTTTCAAACTAGAATTCTAGAAAGTTTAAAATAATTTAACTATGTGCAATCTAAAATATTTTTTAATTATCTGTTGGTAATTTAAATTCAGCAGTAGTTGGACCAATAAGAATGAAAGAAATGGTTTTAAGGGTTGTCTTCAATTCACTAAAAGTTTATTGCAAGAAAGAATGAATGCATGATTTTTGGTCTAGTTTATCTAACCAGAGAATTATGATTTCTTTTTTTTTTTGTTCAGTAATTTTGAAGTTGTTTTAAGAGGAAAGAAAGAAATCCTATAACAGTTTTTGTGAATAAATATTTTAACACATCAAAAATAATAATAACATTTTGTAAAAAATGAATTTTAGACTAAATTTAATATTGTTTCTCTTCATGTTTAGGTTATTGGAATTGTGACAAGAAAAGATTTGGCTCGATATCGCACTTGGCAACACAGAGGCAAGATGGGTTTAGAAGAACTCAATATTTATGTAGGCTGAGAAGTAGATGAAACAATTTTTTCATGGTTACTTAAGATCCTGTATGACTTCATTGAAAAGACTGAACCATTCAGTTTCTGTAAGCTCTGTAAAAGATAATTTTATTTAAAGAAAATAGGAATTTTTGTAATTATTCTATGTTGCACTGAAGATATTTAATAAGATGAAACTATATGCATGTTAAATATTACTTTTTCTTCTTTTTTCTTTTGTATTTTTTTAGTATTTAATTGCCTTACAAATATAGATCATCAAGGTGAACATAAACACCAATAAACATTTGGAGAAAAATAAATGTTCAAATAATACAGTGATTGAGTACTTTAAAATGATGTTTCATTCATAAGCAGATATTTTAGTGTATGAATGTTACTAGCAGCTTGTAATGATTGCCAGAGTAATTGACAAAATAAAAATGCATATATTGCCTTACTGTATGCCATTTACCATAAAACACATAAATTATTAACTTCTTATAAGCTATAAGTAAAGGCAGAAAATTTTAAAATTTGTTCGAAGTAACCACTAAAAACAAACATGTAGGGTTGAATTTCTGAGGCCAGTCAGTCTCAATGGTAGGGAAAAAAATTGTTCATTAGATCTTCTTTGAAATGAAAAAAATGGCATAAGTAGTTGAGTATTGATACGGAAAAAAATAAAAGGTATAACTGGTATGGAGTTTGAGAAAAATAGATAAAGTTGAAAAAATATGCTTGGCTGCTCAGTAAGACAAAAATTGCTGAAAACTTTAGTTATAAACCCACGAAAACAAGTTGTATATATATATATATATGTATATAATTTTGTTTGGAAATGCAGATATGGTGTAAAATAATCTGAATTCAAATGTTATGTCATGTAGGCATGTATCTTGGCAGTTTAAGAATGGCAGTGGTAGTGAGGCCCAGGTCATACAGTTGTCTTTACTGAATTTGTATTTGTTTATGTTCTGCATATGTTATAAGGATTGTAATGATTTGTTTTTGTATCTTTAAGAAATGAAAAATCTGTTATCACCCAGGTGTCACATTTGATGTACTAATCTTTTGAGTGTGACCCTGTAAGTTGTCATAAATACAGTACTCAGTAAAGAAATCTCTTCAACTGTTGAGAATTGTCAGTAGACATCATTTTGGTTCATGCACATTTAGATTTAGTTCTCATAAATATTATAACTTTACCTACTTTTTAGCATTTGCAAAATTATGTTGCTTCTTATCCTGAAATATATTTATACGTTAAAGAAATGTACTTTATGATATAGAAATAAAAATACTTTGTGTCTCAGGTAGCATTGTTTAAAAAATGTATACATTATTTTTTGTGTAATAAGAGTTTTTCTTTAATACTCAATAGTTCACTATTTATTTATGTTAGTAGGTGTCATAATTTTTAGAGGATGTATTACAGTATGTTTGAAACCAAGTAATAGAAAAGGTGCTTTTAATTGATTTAAAAAAAAATATTATTTGTTCATTAGATTTTAAGTGCTCATTTAAATACAATGCAATAAGAAGTTGTTTCTACGAGCATGTTTAGTACTCTTTTCATTATGGGGATTAACCTCTAACAGTGTATTTTAGATAATACTTACTATAATTTTATATGATGAGATCTTGTATTATTTGAATGTGATTTTGATGAAAGTAATTGTTTAAAATGAAAAATACATAATGTAATGAATTTTTCCCAAGTAATTTCTGTGCTGAGAAATGAGGGAACTAATAAAATTCTAAGCCCCCCCCCCCCAAAAAAAACTATTTGGGAAGGGAGGCTAAAATTGTAACTTGGTAGAGATAAGCCTTTCTAGACATGCCACTGGTGATTACATTTGAACATGATGAAAAAGATTCAATCAAATAAATAATTACTAAAAAAAAATCATAAAATAGTTTTGTAAAATGTATATCATTTTATATTAGTTGAAGAATAATTATCTATTTTATTCTTCAGAATGTCATTCATTAGTTGTATTTGAAAATGTTAAGATTTGGAGTTTATGTCATTACACGTATTTTATATCTTTTTTTTTTTTTTTTTTCCAAATATGCATTACATTAACAATTTAAGAAATTTGTAAGTGGCATAGTAAAGCTTAAGCCTTGCAATAATTTGTAAAGAAAATAATAACAATGACACATCTGGTATGGGAAGATAAATAATTTGCATAATCTTTATTTTTGGACTTTATTATGGTACACTAGGAATAAAATGAATATTCCATGCTGTAATAGTGTTTATTGTTAGTTATATATGGGTGAAATGTCTGTTTTCCACTTGTTGAACCAGAATTTTATTTATTGGTGTTTTGCAAAAATATAATCTTGAGGATATAGTTCCATACTAAATAATCAGTTGGAACTTTGCATGTGCATAAAACTGTAGTCTAAATTTCATAATTTTAATTATTAACAAGTTTTTATGAAGTTATTTTGAACTCGGTTCCTCACCTCATTATGCTTCATTACGTCTCAGTATGTTACTTGGTTTGTGTTATGTACACAATGTCCTACAAAGAACATAGATATGGTTTGGTTCATACTCTTTCTTAAATTTATGGCCATAACTTGCATTATTCTCAGTGTTACTTTAAATTTTTATTTTTTATTAATGGTATTAGTATGTGTATATTCTTGGCAGATAATGTTAGTGATCACCAAAGATTGTCTAGAATATTATTTCAATATATATCTGCTATTGCAACTTATAAACTGTATCTCATAAGTGCTTTAAGTAGTGTCCTGTATGCACTACTTGTTTGTTTCAGGCACAGCTTCATGTTTTATAGTGTTCTTATTCATGACAATAAGTGTTTATATGTTATATATATATATATATTGTATTTTTTTTAGATTTTTTTAATTTAGGTGTAATTTAATTAGCTGTTCATGAGTAATGGGTGAATAAAATTCATAAAATATAATACATATATAGCTGGCATTTTAAAAGAGGTTCTCTTTCAAATAAACAGTTATATTTTTACATAACCTTACTTTGTATGTTTCCACATAAAAAGTAGAAAACAGTGTAGGTACAGCAGTACTTGTTATTAGATTTATAGTTCAAGAATTTTATCCTTATGTTTAAGAAAGATTCTTGTTTATAGTTTCATATTTGGAAAATGTTTTATTGAATAAGTGAAGATTGTATTACATATATGTTAATTAAGAAATTGTGATAAAAATTAGTGATGACTTGAAACAGTTTTCTTATAAGAGGTAACTATCATATGTTGTTTCAAGTAATTATTTTCCTACATTTGAGTGTATGTCAGCAACAACAAAAAATAGTTCATGCTTATGTGCAAATATGTGAAATAAAGTTATTGAGAAGATGCATAAAATTGAGTGTGAACAAATAAATACATACAAATGTAGTCAAAACTTAAATTTAGTGCTTTTTCTGAAATTAGTGTTAATTGTATCCTTTGTTGGTTCAATATGAAGTTATTTTAAAATTTTGAATGTATAGAAAGTAAGACTAGTTCCTATTATGAAATCAGTCTGTTATATTTTTATACAATTATAATGAATATATAGTAATTGTGTAAAACATTATGGAAAGTATCAAGGAACAAAAATAAAGATACTATCTTTGAATGTTGTTATCACAGAATATAACTTTATTATATGTTTTAAACTTGTTATTTATGTATGTGTGATTTCATCCTTAGTTTGTTTTCATTCACACACAAACATTTACAGTTCCTTATCAATGTGGTGCCATGTTCTACTTCACCATGAGCATATAAACACACTGCATTTTCCTATGTTTCATTCTAGGAAAAAGATTAACTCCATATAGAATGTAGTGCTGGCAATTCAGTGTTATTGAAAAGTACTTGTGGTTGTTTATTGTCTGCTTATAGTTTTTATAATTTGAAGCTTTCTTAGGTGTGCAATTATTGTCTTGTTCAAGTTTTAACTTATATATGTTGTGAACATAAATTACTAGAATACTTGCACTTTGGTTACAGTATTTGAAAAATGGTAATATTCAAGTTATTCAATCTTACTATGATCTTGGTGAAAGCATAACTGAGGATCATTTGTAATGTTGTGTAAAATAATTCCAAGACATGGTGAAAACCAGAAAACCTCGTTAAAGTATTAATCTCATGATGTTTCCAAAAAGAGTAAAACTTCCTGTAGATTAATATATATGCCAGAAAAAATTATAATATTTACGTGAAACTTCAAACTGGTTCCAAAGCAGAAATGTTATCTCGCACAAGACTAAAACTAAAAAATCTTTAAACTTCCTCGAAACAATAGAATGATTAGAGAATGTAATGACTCAAACCCTTCATAGATTAAAAAAAGACTTGGGCATATAATGCTGATGTTTCTTTTTCTATTGTAAATAAGCAGAAATTGCAAAATATGGTAAGTGCAACAGAACACCTTAATTAAAAAAAAAAATCAAAGATGCAGCAAGCACCTGGAAAAGTCAAAACAAAAGTCAGAAAGGTGACATATCATGCTATGCTGTTGCTTCCAAGTAATATAAATTTATACTATATACAAGCCCTGAAAAACTACAATGAGATTCAAAGACCTGAAAAGTCGTAATGTTTCCTAAGAACAAGTTTAGGAAAAGTAGTAAGAGGTACTTAAAAACTTTAATCTTCTTCAAAAGACCAAAATAAGTTGGAAATATGACAAATTCTGGTATTCTTTGTACTCCTTAAAAAGAATAGAAGCAAATTAGCAGTAAATAATATGAAAATACTTAATATTGTATGTAAAATGCAGATGAATTCAAAACATGACAGTTAACCAGAGCAACAAGCACTATTCATGACTAGTCATTACCATTCAAACTTAAAGAAGTTGTAACCATAAAAATATCACCTGACCTACCATTGGAGAACACTGATGTAGACCTTCAAGAACTAGATCTAGCTTTACTGATATACCCTCCCACAGGCATACTAGGTGTTATCTCCAAAGGAATGACAAAGAACAACATCAACTTCATGAACCTGTATTATGCTAAAACTACACTTATTTAGAATAAATAAAATATGTAGAAAACCTCTACATTAAAATAAGAAGGTAGAAAATGTAGAAATGACATTAATACCATGCGTAGCACAGTACCTTTGCATTGGGCAAATGGTTTAAGTTCAAAACTGTGAAAGTGGGGGCTATGCTCTAATTTTAGCATTACTTTTTAAGCTCAGCATTGCTGTGTACCTTTAGTAGTATGCCTTAGATACCTGTAGGGAATATCCTTCCAGCAATAACCTAAATAAGCAAGTAGTATATCATTGGACTAAACTGGATTTGATTTATAGATTGACAGGGCTGACTTCTATGAACACCACCATAGTATGATGTCCTTCATCTTGTGGCCTCAACCTTGGTGTGTTACAATTCATTTATGTCATCAAAGACCCATAGTGGTAGCATTTTCAAGTTGTGTTTTATAATTTTGTCTCATGAAAATACCACATCTTTCCCAATAATGGTACATGAATTACAGAATCTGAATGGCAAGACCACATAAAATGGCTTTGGGATTATGCCAACAAGAACGAGGTTAACATGTTTTTATGTTCCTGGAATAATCCCAACATTAAACAAAACACGTGAGAACCCAAATCTACCCATATTTAAGCAATCCTGTATTTTACTTCATTAATCCACAAATTGCTGACTTGTTTGTATATTGTTCACCACAAAGCTACACAAATTTTATATTTTTACCTGTTACAACACTTAGTGTAAAGGACTGACCAAAATATTGGGTAAAATCACTAGTTCTTCAATCTAAAATACATAGATAATCACAGTAACAATTACCAAGATTAATTCAATACAGATGGTATTTTATGTTTATATGTTTAATATTAGAGATTATAACTAACAATGTGATGGATCCACAAGGAACTTGGTGAATAAATAGTTAAATGTCTTAAGAAGCTGATCAGTAATTCTAACTTAGAATCTAAGGCTAGTTATATGCCACCTTTTCTCTCTCTCTCTCTCTATGTAGGCGACTTTTTATAACTTTTGATTTTCACCAGTACTTTAGCTGTGTCATAGTCTAGAGCAAACAATAAATGTAAAATTCTTAATTTGTACTGTGGAAATAGTCTTATAATACTAATAGTTATATGGGAAAATTAATTTATAAAAATATAATGACTTTCCATGTTCCTTCACACACAATATTTTGAATTAATAAGATGGTGTATTACAGTAAAGTGTTACTGAGATTCCACCTTATCCTTTAGTTACTGATAAAAAAAATCAACAAAACTGATATATTGCTGTTGCGTCAGCGAGGTCACGTGACTAGTATCACGCCACCTCCTTCTAGAAATATCCTGTTCCTTCGTGAATTGTCGGGAGACTACTAGATTGGGGGTAGTCTGGTATATATAAAAAATGTAGCCCGGCATGGCCAGGTGGTTAAGGTGCTTGACTCGCAATCTGAGGGTCGCGGTTTCGAATCCCCATCACACCAAACATGCTTGACCTTTCAGCCGTGGGAGCGTTATAATGTGACGGTCAATCCCACTATTAATTGATAAAAAAGTGGGTGGTGATGACTAGCTGCCTTCCCTCTAGTCTTACACTGCCAAATTTGGGACGGCAAGCGCAGATAGCCCTTGTGTAGCTTTGTGCGAAAATTCAAAAAAAGAAAAAAACTAAAAATGTAAAATTATAAAACCAAAAATTTTATATTCCCAAGGTGTCCTGTGTGAACAGGATTTATTGTATGACAACAAAAAGTCAATCCTTGTGTATTACTAGTTACGTGCAAAATACTTGATTTGTCATATAAGTAAACTGATAGAGTTGTCTCAGTTTTTTATTGTCACATGCTTTGAATTATTAATTCATCTTGGAGACAAAGGTTTATATGGTAAC